ATAATCAACTAATAATCTCACCCTAAACCCTATATCTGATTATATATCCAATTTTATGAGCTCTGTTTTATTTTACCCATTATATTCTATCTATACTTCAAAGAAAATGTAAGGAAAAAATCAAGAAAATACAGAATTATCTCAATTCTTAAGCCAACATGCTTCTGTGGTATGGGCACTTGCATTACAATTCCTTGTATATCCTCTCATATAATAATGGATATCTAAGTTTGGTCGTAAAATGTAAACTGTGGCCTTTCTTCCAGCATAGTGACTTTTGCATAGTATATCTAATAAATAATTGCTAAATTGACATAAACTAAAACCAAAAGGGTACATTTTTCCATTTCCATGAATGTGCAAAGCATGCATTAAGAATGAGATCATAGGGGGTTACTCTGTTTACTATATTCCTTACTTATTTGGGTATGGAAATTTTATTTAATTTTTTTTCTAGATGCAAGTATTGCTTTTGAAATGAAATGTTTATGCTTTCATTCAAATTCTAAAAACCTTCCTTTACAATAAAACAGAAGGGAATTTAGGGATGGCACATTCTGTATTGGCATGCTAGTCTTTAAATTTTTAGTACCATCTTTAGCTATTACTTACCTTTACAGAAGGAAAAATACTGGCAGCACATAAAAATCACATCTGCTGTTGCAACTATTGTCATAGGTCCTTTTTTTTTTTTTAAATCCAAAATGGCAGCATAAAACTGCATAGAACAGAATCCCAAAATGTGGGATCCTATCCAGGTGCCCCATTGTCCTTTCTGTCATATTATAAATGTAACAAAAAGACAGCACAGGCTTTTGGCTACAGATCTGACTGCCAAAAGAAATAAATAAAATGTTTAAAGGTATGTCTCTTTCAAATGCAATGTCTTAATATTCCACAAAAAGAGACATATTAATTTCAACATGAGTCCATGTGCAATGGCAGTTAGTTTCCTGTTAGATGTGATCCATTGAACTTAGTCTTTAGATATGAGGTTCTAGAAAATATGTGGAAAGACATAGT